AGGTATCATTCAAGGGAGGCGAGAAAAATCAATAAGTGTTGATGCACTCTATTGTGGATGCGAGCTCCTTCTCGATAGCAGGTTCTCAGACGGTCATTGACTGAGGTGGAGGCAGAGGGAGTTCACACCCACCATTGAGGGCTTCCACCATGCACCTGTAGCGGTACGTACAGTGGGTAGCGCATTTCCAGCTACCTAACTTACCTTTAGTTAAGGTACCTAGGTACCTAAGGTATCTTACCTACCTACCCGTTGACGCCACCGATTGGCTCACGCACAGCGGCTTCCAGGTCCTGCCGCTGAACTTTCAGCGACCACCTGCCGATTCCTACGCTGAAATCAGCATGTGGCCACGCCGTCAAGCTCAAAGGGCTAAGCACCACAAACACCCACCCCCTAAAGGTCGCGTCGCGTCACATTAACACGCGGCGACAACTCACCTGCAACATCAAATCCATCAATTCGGATGCAAAACCCATTCTTCTTCTCCAAAATTCCCCTCACTTCCACTGAGTTGCCAGCTTGGCCCATTTGTCCTGCCGTTCTCGCTCAAACTATTCTTGACTGCGATGCGGCGGCACTCCCTGCCTCCCACGCATGACGATGTCGCCGGCTTTCGACACAACGGAGCAACGCCGTACGCCGGAAGAAAATCACATCAATTGCGACGCTCGCGTTGAATCCTCCATCCGAAGAAGAAAAGGTGGCTGGCAGGGTTGGTGCATCGACTCGGTGTCCGTTTCTCCGTCAGTGGCTGCGTGCTGATTTACAGGGCAGAGACCACTGAAGCTCACTTGGCAGCCTGTGATGTATGCAGCCTCCCGAAATGCCAGACTCGACGTTTTCTCGACAAGTGCTCAAGTCCCGTCCCATGAACTTGATGCAAGTGCTTCGCGATATCATCCAAGTCAGACGTTGGTTTTGGGTTGGTGGCGCATTTGCATTATTGTTTCAACACACTACTTCAAGCCACATTACATAAGCAGATTTTACACACGGCAATATCAAAAGACCACTCCTCTACCCATGATCTAATCCAAGACGAATTACTCCCCATTCCAGCCATCCCACGCCTTCTTCACAACCCTCTCAAACTCCACCGCCAGCTCCTTTACCTCCTCTTCCCACCTCTCGACATCTGCGCCCGTCGCCCAGCCGCCCTTCTCCTGCGCCTCCTCTTCCACGCCGCGCACCACCCTCGCCAGCTCGACCAACCCGGGCACAACACCCCTGTTCAACCGACCCCGCAACTCTCTCAACTGCTTCATCTCGGCTCCGGCTGCCTCGCATGCGATTCCCGCTACGGCCCCCTGCGCTTCCACTACAGCCAAAACCTCCCCGGTCCTTGTGTCTGCGTCGCCATCCCCCAACCCGCGCAGCGCCTTCTCCTTCTTCCCCAGCGCCTTCTTCCACCCGCACGTCGCCTCCACCGGCCCGAACGCTTTCTCCACCTTGCCCGGTTCCAGCTGCTCCACGAGGTCTCTGAAGGTGCGCAGCGTGCCGTCAAACACAACTTTGAGCCTGCCGATGCGCGCGCGGGCAGCCGAGGCGGGTGTGTTGAGTTTGGCGACGTGGAACCACCTCACCTTCCCCGCACTCTTTTCCCTCGCGATGTTTCGGGCTGCGCGCTGGTTCGACGACACGGCGGCTGTTGCGGCGCGGACGGCACCCTCAAACGCCGTGAGATGCGCGGCGGCGGATGGCGGGAGCGGAGTGAAGTCTGTTGCGTGCGACGCCCAGGCGGCGAGGTTTGGGAGGGCATCACCGTAGCGCGGGACATGGGGCGCGGGGGCGATGGGGTAGGATAGAGGGTCCTCGGGGTTATGGGACGGGCAAAGGTTGTTGAGGGCGAAGGTGGACGCGACGGAGGCGATGGACATGTCGTGGGTGTCGGTCTGGAGGGTTTGGAGGGCGGTGCAGAGGGTGGCGTGGAGGGTGTTGAGGGCCGGGGTGAAGAAGTAGAAGAGACCGAAGGGGATGTAAACGATGCGGAAGGTGAGGAGCCAGGTAAACCAGGACCAGAACCATGAGAGGATTGCGATGACGAAGGTGAAGATGGCGTTGGTGATAGTGGTGTTGATGGTGGAGGACGTGTTGGTGGAGGTGAAGGTGCTGACTTGTGTCCTCTCACCAGACTTCGACACAGACTCTTGCGGGGGAACATTAGAGGCATCCGACAACTGCCTCTCCTTCGCCTCCTTCGCAGCCCTCTGAGCACGAATTTCCGCCCGGAGCCTCTCCTTGCCTGCCTTGTGTGTCGCAAGCTCCTCTTCCGTCATCATCTTTGCAGCAGCAAGTAAGCAAGCTACCGCCACGCCTCGCCGCACTTCTCCTGGAGAAACGCAATCCGATCGCTCGCGCCGCCAGAGAGTGAAGGCTCGAAGAGGTGGTCGTACACGGTGCGCGTGTCCTCGTCAAAGAGGATGGCCGTGACAAGCGCAGTCACGACGGCGTTGTTGTTGTGGACTATGTTGTTCTCGTTTGTATCGCGATTGTTGTTATCGGGATTGGAGTTGGAGTTGGAGTTGGAGTTGGAGAAGAAACCCCCGTGAGGAAAGTACTCAATCAACGTGCCCTCGACAGCCAGATAAATCTGGTGCGTGGAGCAGCGCCGGGCGGAGGAAGACTTGGAGCGCGCCGAGGACGGGGCGCAGGCGGCGGCGATATGGAGGTATTCGTACAGCGAGGGCGGGCGGTTCGTGGGCACTGCGAAGAGGATTGCGGCGTAGGCGCGGCAGATTCGCGTGACGGTTTCGCTTGCTTTTGGGCAGTCAGCTGTGGTTGCCTCGAAAGGGGCAACAGAAGGGGGGAGGTGTCTTACATTTGGTGACAGTCTGTGTTGAAGCGGGCTTCCTGATCTCAATCACGAGGGCGGGGGGCGGTGTCGAGCACCAGGTCCAGCCTTGGTAGAGTGAAAAGAGGACGCAGACGGCGACGAAGATGTTGAAGGGGATGCCGTGGGGGAGCATTGTGGTGACGCAAACTGGAGACCCGGCATGACAGAGGGAGTCATGCGCGCATTTGTACTTGAGCTGCGGGTTGCTCGATGGTTGGCAATGGACAAAGAAGACACGAGACACAGGCCGAAACAACATGCGACCCGAAGAAGCCTCGTCACATTTCAGATCTGGTCAAGGCTTTCTCGTCAGCCTCATCCAGACCGGCAAAACAAGAGCAGAAAACCAAGAGGATATATCAATCCCCCCCCCTTCCAACCCTCACTTCTCACCCCCATATCAGCAAATCTTTGCTTTACCATCGATGGGCCGCCACTTGCTCACGCCCAACACCCCCGTCCACCTCGCCGAACACCACGACCACGACCCCAAAACAGACTGGCCCGCCGACGCTCCCCTTCGCAGCACCTTCCGCGTCAACCAACTCGTCACATCGAAACGAAACAGGAGGATGGCCACCGACTACGACCTGCGCGCGCGGCAGCTCCTGCGCTACGCGGCCGCGGACCCGGCTCAACCGCACGCCGACACCATCACCGACGAGCACGTACGCCGCGCGCGCTTCCTACAACCGCTGTACGACCCTGCCGCGGATGAGGAGGATGAGGAGCGGTGGCCTGCGCAGTGGGCGGAGAGCGTGAAGAGTCTCCGGGGATTTGTGACGTGCAGGCCGTGGAAGGATGCTACGGAGGTTGGTGCCCCTTTTTTTTGTGAAAGACGAAATGCTAATGTTGAACAGGGATATCTCGCCATTGTGGAGGAGGAGAAGGAGGGTGAGGCGGGTGAGAAGGATGTCGCAGCCGCAGAGGTTAGTTCTCTCTCACCTTGACAAAGACAACACTGACATATGACAGGATCGGGAACAGCCGTTAGCGGAGCCTGCTCCAGGACCACAGCAATCTGACAATGAGGCAGCCCAGGCTGCCGCAGACCTGCTGAACCTCAGCGGCTTGGGCTCAGTCCTGAACCTGAGTGGCGTGGGCACCGTTGCCCCGCAAACGACGCCCGTCAAGCCGGCGCCCCCTGCTCCCCGTCGCCCGCGCCACATGCAAACGCAAACGCAGCAGACGCCTGCCCTGGCATTGGTGGGTGGTGGCTCGCGGCTACCCGTGTCTACTACCCTGCTGCCGGGCGCTAGGCCTTTGATGTCAGGCGGTGGCAGAGGTGCTGCGAAACCTTTGACACCGGGCAGAGAAATTGGGACAACTGACCTATGTCTCCCCGTGGGAGAGACGGCAGCCACTGTCACTCACCTGTCCCCTCGCTTGGGAGTTACAGGCAGAGACACAGCTCACCCTTTGAATCCTGGCCCTGGCCCGACCGTCCAAGACACTGTCCCTTTCGACCCTTTTCCTCGGGTTGGAGAGACGCGCAGAGATACCACCAACTCTTCACCAGCAGGCGGCAGATACACTTCACCTGGCCCATTCCCTTCCCTTGGACAGACTGCCCCTGTGTCCAGCGCATTACCTAGCGTTGGAAACACTGCGACTGTGCCAGGCGCATTTCCAGACTTTGGCGAGACCCGAGACACCCCCGCGGCTTTGTTCAGCACCAGCCCCAATATGTTCGGCCCAGGCGGTCGGGAGCGCAACCGCGCAAACGGCCGGGGCCGCAGCCGCAGCGTCTCCCCCAAGGGCGGCAACAACCCTGTCATTGGAGGTGGTTTTACGGAGGAAGAGATGGAGCGGTTCCGGGCGTGGGTGGCGCGGGAAGAGCGCAAGAAGGCCAGAGAGGCGGGTGGAAAGTAGGTTGTTGTTTGTGTGTCTGTAACTTGCCATCATCACCACCAGATCTCAGATCTCGGCTGTCGGTGATCACCACCACAGTCATTTCCGTATTCAATCATTCAATCTCGGTGTCATCTAATCTCGGTTTCATTCGCCCGTCATGTGCCAATCCAACTCCGAAACGGTACTCCCCCCTCCCCTTTCTCACTGCCAGCAGTCAGCTAACGCCCTCCAGCAAGTATGCGGCCGACCCCTGAGGAACCTCAAAGCCTCTAACACGCGGCACGTCTGGGGTCCGCGCTGCGCGCGCGCGATGAACCAGCACATCATCCGCCACTCCCTCAACTTGCGCAGCTGCCACACGCGGCACATGGACGAGGTTGAGGCCGCGATGCACATGGTGCGCCCCGGCCCCGGCGCCAAGCGGTGGAGCGCCGAGTTCGACCGGCTCATGGTGCCGCGGATGAAGGACGCGCTGCAGGGAAGATTCAGGGAGCTGGGGAAGGCGGGGGTGTGGCGGTATGATGAGGATGGTGAGGTGGTGTATGAGGAGTGGGCGAAGGCGTTTGTGAAGGAGGAGTGGGATGGGGTCAGTTTTTCGAAGGAGGATGCGGAGCGGTTGTTGGCGCTGGATGAGAAGGAGGTTGAGAGTGGGAGTGAGAGTGAGAGTGAGAGTGAGAGTGAGAGTAGGGATGATGAGGATGAGGATGAGAGGGGTACGGTGCGCCCGGAGGACTCGGTCTCGAATGTTTTCATCCTCACCCCACCGCCTACCCCGATCCGATCGCGAGTTGCGCACCGCGCGCAGCTGCCCCCCGTCGCAGAGGAGGAGGAGGAGCAGGATGATGCTGCTGCGGAGCTTGACGCCCTCTCGTTCGCCGACCTCCGCAACCTCATGCTCGAAGCAGCCGGCAACCTGTTCGATTTCAAGGTGCACCTCGACTTCCTCGACCACGGCGTCGCGCATGCCGGCGCAGAAGAGCGGGTGGAGGCCGAGACGATGCGCGATCGGTGCCTAGAGGAGCTGCGGGTGCTGGAGGGCGCGCTGGACCGTGCCGCAGTGCGGGAGATGGGGATCCGGGAGGTGGGCGTGGCGAAGGCGCCGCTGATGGGTGCTATTTGGGAGCGGCTGCTTGGAGGGGTAGTGCGCGATGCAAATTGAGATGACAGGAGGGTTCTAGGAGACGCGTGACGGGACGAGGTGTGTGGGCTTCTTTGTTGGGTGTCTTGTGGGTGGTTCTTGTCTCGGAGAGTGAGATTGGACGGGAAGGTGTACGGTACGAAAAACAGCATAAAGGGGCGGGAGTCTGGAAATGCGATGCGCTGCGTTTCTTCATCTATTCCGTCTTTTTTGGCAGAAGTCTGTCTAAACAGGCTCACCTCCACCGTCACCATGCCAGACTCAGACTCCATCACGTCGCGTGAGATGGCCGAGTACCTGGAGAACAAGCGCGAGTTGAGTGAGAGGGACAAGGAATATCTAGCGCTCAATGCCAAAAAGAACCAGGCGGCGGCTGCTCGCGAGGGTGCCAACATCAACGCCTACACCAACTGGGCCACCAACATGAACAACAACAACAACCTCAGCAGCACCAACGCCAACGCCAACGCCGCGAACAACACCACTATCAACGCCAAGAATGCCGATGACGACGACGACAGACGCTCCGTCCTATCCTCACGCATCATGCGCTCCGGCCTCACCAACATCGGCCAGCTCGTCCGCAAAGCGCCGGGCCTGCAGTCGGCGCAGGACCGTCAGACGGTGGAGGCGGCGATGCGCGACCCGCGGTATCTTGATTCGTGGCGGGGTAACAAGACGGTGCAGCCACATCAACGCCCCCCACAGAGCTTCCAGTACCAACCACGCCCCTCAGCTCCACTTATCCAGCCACAGCAGCCACAGAACCAGCCGCAGCCACCCCACGATGCGGCGTCAGTCCTCCAGCAATACCAAGATCACCGGCACCAACACCAACAACAGCAACTGCCGCTGTATGCTCCGTTCGCTTCGCTACAGGACATCGACGCCGAACTGGATCGTGTCCTGCATGAGCAAAAGAGCCACCTCTTCGAGGCCGTCGACTGCGAGGTGCGCGTCAAGGTGCTGCACTGGCACCGCCACGCGATGATGGAGCGGGAGGCCATGGATGCGAACACCGCCAAGAACAACAAAGAGTAGATTGTCGTGTTAGGTCAATTAATTGGATCATGTGTTTACGGACTCGTTGCCGTGTATGTCGAGATTTGTGCGCGTCTTTGAGAGTTATGCAGCCCTGAATGCTATTGTTTGCTTTCCCGAGATGTTTGTGGCATGTGTTGATTGCCTCAATTTGTGTGTTTGTCCCGTCGCCGTTTGCATCGTGTTGAAATGAAATGACAGCCGCTCTAGCCTTGGTCAGGGGCTACGAATAAGCCGCCCTCCTCGTGTAGGTTCCCTTCGAGTTCCTGCGTCGTGTTCCCCCTCGATGAAGCAATGCAATGCCGGCCGTCACGCGCAGCAAGTCCAGCCGCCGCCCGTCGGACAGCCCTCCGTCTGGTCTGCAAACCACGCCACGAAGACGGCGCCGCAAGAGTAGCATCACCGCCAACAACAAGACGGAAGCCGACAGCGACAACAACAACAACAAGACCGAAAACGAAGACGACCAAACCGGCCAGGCCATCCAGCTCAACCTCCCCCTCGCCCTCCCGCCGCCCTTCAACCGCCAGATACTCTCCCTCTGCTTTCATGCCTCCTGGCGCACCCGCCGGCGCCTGCGCATCCACTTCAGCAACCGCAGCGAGGTGCTTCTCGACGATGACACCTCCTCTTCTGACTCCTCCTCCTCCAACCCGGACTCCGAACATCGCCACGATAACCTGACCGTCATCGACTACGACCCCATCGCCGTCCCATCACACCCCTCTGCCCGGCGCTGGCTCGTCCCCCTGATCATCGCATGCTTCATCGCCGGAGCCTTCATCCTTGCCGCCGTCCTGAGCTACTCCGACCTCCGATCCATCAAAATCATACCACTGCCACCGCCGCGCCCACGGCCGATCACGCTCCGCAACCTGACCACCCTCGTCCACCCCTACGCCCGCCTCGTCCGCCTCCTCGACACCAACACCCCCGCCACACCTCTCCCCGCCGTGCAACGCGAGTTCACCGAGCTGTGCACCATCGGACGCGCCCTCGCCATCCCCGCGGACGTGTGCCATGATATTGTCGATCTGCTGGATGATACTAGTGGGCACCTCGCGCGCGTGCTGGTAGGCATCCGCGCGCGCGCTGGCCCGGGGAATTTGGTGACTGCGTTGAGGGATACGGTGCTTCTCATGGCGTGGGGGATCGACACGCAGGCGCAGGAGCAACAGGAACAGGAACAGGAACAGCAGCAGGGGAACGGAGGTGGTGGCGAGGGTGTGTGGAACAGCACGGCCGAGGGCATCTTCCGCGCTGTGACGGCACAGCTGCCCAACTGGTGGGACGACCACAACGCCCTCGCCGTGCCCTTGCAATCGGCCCTGGAGTCGCTAAGGCAGGCGAGGGGAATGGAAGGGGATGTACTGGGCGCGTTCAAACTCGCCGTTGGCAGCTTGGACCCGAATACCTTGTGAGTCGACTGCAGTCCCTGAACACCCAGGTCTTGAGGACCGCGTTGACTCCGTGACACACCACACAGCCCCGCCGAAGACGTCTTCTACGCATACGACCGCCTCTTCACCCCCCTCCTCCCGCGCCGCGACGCCCTCCTGACCACGCTCGAGTCCGCGACAAGGATACTGGAGGACGCGGCGGGAAGGGTGTACGAGTTCAACGCGACGCTACACGGGATACGCGCGGAGGCGAAGAAGGGGACACGCGGGGGATATGTGTTTGAGGGGGTTGAGGTGTTGCTTGGGCGGGTGAAGGACGCGCTTGCGGTATTGGACCATGAGTTGGAGGCGGTGGGAGTGAGGGAGAGGCAGAGGCTGAGAGATGGCGAGGGTGGGGAGGAAGAGGCGAGGGAGGTGGAGGAGCGGAGACCGAGGAGGAGGAGGGAGAGGGAAGAGAGGGAGAGGGGGAGGAAGGCGTGGTGGAAGCTGTGAGTTAAATTGTTCAACATTAGGACATACAAACCTTGTATAGAGTGCGTGGGAGACTTAGCGGGCAAACGATATATTGAAACGACCCTGTAGACTAGCATCCCATCACTACTGAACATATCCAACATACCCGAACAACCCGTGCTCCTTCATGGCCATCTCTGCCTCGACCATCATCCGCTGCGCCGCGCGGTGCATCTCGAGCGCCTGCGTGAACGCCTCGCTGGGTTGGTGATACTCGTTAGACGGCCGACGCGAGACCACGGTGGAACGCCGCGAGGAGACGACCGTGGTACCAAACGGGGAGGAGACCACGGTGCTGGTGGCCGTGGTGCGAGGCGCGTGGGGTCGTCGCGGGGAAATGAAAACGGTGGTCGGCGGCGAGGAGATGATGGTGCTGGTGCGCATGGTGTGGGGCGTCTGGATTATTTGCGGCGGGGTGAACATGGTCGATGCCGGCGAGGAGATGACGGTGTTGGTACCGGCGGAGCTGAAGGGCGAGAACACAACGGTGCTGTTGCCCACAACGCTGCCCCTGCGAGGCGTGCGAGGCGTGCGAGGCGTCTGAGGCGGGGTATACACGGTGCTGGCTGGCGCAGAGATGACCGTGCTGTTGCCGACAGTGCTGAACGGCGCAGAGATGACCGTGCTGTTGCCGACGGTGCTGAACGGCGCGGAGACAACGGTGCCGGTCTCAGCGAGACTTGCCGCCGGGGCGGGCTGGGGGGACGGCGTTGGACCAACGGGAGTCGGCACGACGGGTGGAACGGGCTCCGTGACCGGGTTGCTGACGGGGACCTCGTCTGTCTCGTTGGCACCCCACGGGTTGAACGCGGGGTCGTGCTCGAGACTTGCCCACGCGTTGAGCGTCTCGGGGGCGGGGGCGGAGTCTGTGGCCGGGCTGTTGAGATTGTTGACCGGGGGCGGACTGCTGACGGTGTGAGCTTTTGCAAGAATGGTCAACGTCACGGCGAGCAACAGAGCAACAGGGGACGTACACTTTCTCGGGGCTGGACGGCGCCTGCAAAGACATGCTGCCGAATTGCTCGACGAGGCCGGCTTGTTCTGCGCGTGTCAGCTCTCGCTCACAACAGCGACCAGGTCAACTAACCTCCCTGCCACCAATCCGTCTTGCCAAGCGTCTGGCGCATCCAAACTTCGACAGCATCCACACCGCCGTGTGGCCAACCCGCAGTCTGCTGCTCGTCCCACCGGTAGCAGCCAGACACCGCACACCAAGAGACAAGCGCGCCATTGCAAGGCTCCTTCACCCACTTGGTCGCATAGTGCTGCACCAGCTTGTCAAAGTATGGCAGGACGAACGCCCAGGCCGGGTCATGCTGCAGGATATTGCATTCGGCGCGCAGGCGGGGGATCGGGAGGCGATCGGTGTCGGAGGGGAGGATGCGCTCGGCGTAGAGGGTGAAGAGGATGGTGGCGCGCGTGCGGACACACCAGCGGAAGCCGCGCTGCTTCTTGGGCTTGGATTCGTAGAAGGACAGCAGGGTGCCACAGAGTTTCTGGGGCGAGGTCAGTCAGCATGAAAAGGTCAATTGAGAGGGGGGCTGCGACGTACAATGGAGTTGTTGGTAAGGCACATCGTGGCGGTGGAGAACCAGCAATGGGCTCGTGAGACGACGAGCTTGCGGGTGACGAAAAGGTCGCTGTTGCATCTCCCGGGGAGTCCGTGGATATACCAGGCGACTCTTGCAGAATGCGCTCTGCAAACCGTTTACCGCTATCGTCACCGCTCCTGCGACCGTCTCTAGACCGCCATCGTCGCCGTTCGTTCGAATGTCTCTGAGCTGGTGCTGTCCATTGCCGAAACAGGAGGGGCAATCGTGGTGGCCATGGCCGGCGACACTGAAAGCTCCCCAGAGCTCCTGCGAGCTTCTGCAGGTTCACGCGGCGTGGTGCATGAACACTGGAGCCTGCGTAAGACCGGCGAACTGGTTTGCGGCGGGCATCGTGACGTGGATTCTGCCAGTGGAGAGGAAGTGAATGGTGGACTGCAGGCATGCAGGCAGGCTAGAGGTGTTGATGCGATGCAAGGAGGATGCCAGTCGCGCTGGGAGACGGTCTGGGCTGGCACCTGTCGTATCTGCCAGGTGGGCACCAGCCACACCGGTCACAAGCCTCCGCAGCGAATTTCCAAGGCGATGTGCTGCCGGGCGCCACACTTCACATCCGCCCACAGCTGGCCTGACAAAGTCGTCTGAGTACTGCTGGCTAGGAGATAAGCTGGCGCCAGGATCGCTGCGGATTAATTGGGTATTCCGTCCAGGGAGCTTCCGTCTGCAAGCGTCAACTGCGCGATGAATACTTCAACCGCAGCGAATTGAGGACTTGTATGGTGTGTGACTACGCTTCAATCATGCCCAAGCTTCAGCTGTGACACCTGCGACGAGAGCTTCAATTGGAGCGGACAATCGCAACGCAGGAACTGTACGTACTACTGTAAGTGGTCTGTGTGCCTGGCTCTGGGCTGGCGCCGGCTGGCACACGGCCCCTGGATGGCAGGGCCCACACTGGCAGAAGATTCAAAGAGGTTTGCCATCCGGGCAGGACCTCTACGCGGCGCACAAATGAAGCTATCGCGAGCATCGTCGGGCGCACGCATTTAGACGCGTTGGTAGTGCACGCAGCTAAAATCGTCGTAAAGTACGCGCAGTTGAACTTGTTCATCTTGGTGAAGGAGCACACAGATCTGCGATGTTGATAGCTCTTGCTGATTGTAGATCAAGTGTTCTTCACGGTGGGCAGGTGAAATGACTTTTGCCTGAAACCCATGGCATCGGCAGAAGTTCGCAGGTAGGCAGGCAGACAGGGCAAACGCAGATAAGCGGGTGTCTTGAAGCGAACGAGTGGGTATGTTCATGCAGAGGTAGGGACGCTGCATGCCTGGTGAACACTGGAGTTGTTTGATGCGAACCTATTGGAGGCGACCCGCAACGCAGGCAGTTCTCATGGATGGAACATACGGGCGGTGTGGTGTTTCTTCAAGCATGGGAAATCGCCTTTAAGTCAACCTCATCCGCCCGCGCGTCGAAATTTAATTTTTCATCTCTGCTGTTTCGCCTGCGTTCTCACGCATGATCTTCTCGGCGCCCGCCCACGCGGAGCTGTCGGGGTGTGTCGTGGGGCGAGAAGGACGAAAGAGCCGATGGCCCATGCTACCGGCCCGTCTCGTTCGCCTGCCTCCTCTCCCGTCTTCACGGGAGGAAGGGGGCTCCACGAGCTGCTCTCGGGGCTTGTACCCCGAGAAAGAAACGGTGGCCCACGCCGCCAGCTCCATCTGCCTGCTGTTTTTGCCTGTCTGCTCTTCCGTCTTCACGGGGGAGATGGGTGTTCCACGAGCTGCTCATGCGGCTTGCGCACTTGATGACAGGCGAAAGAGCTGGTGGCCCATGCCGCCAGCGCCGTCTCCGGTCTGGTGCCGCCCGTCTGAATACCGTCTTCACGGCGTTCTCCACTGGGACCTGCTCTTGCGGGTTTCCTATCAGACAGCAGGCAAGCTAAGGTGTTGGCGCAGTTTGCAGATGGGGCTCATGCCTTCGTCTGGACATGCGCCTGCAATTTCGGTTTAGGGGAGATTGCGTGCACGCAGGGGAATCGTCCATACGTGCTCCTCGGAGTCGGACCCGTGTCGAGTTCGGCTCATCCCCGCCTTTGCGGGGGTGGCGGGCGGCGCAAAGGCCCCGCAGGCGGGCTTCTTCTCCAGGGCCGATCGGTCTCTGGGAACTGCCGTAGAGCGTCCCGATGGATAATCATTGGGACGCATTGCATGTGCAGGTTCGTCGCACATGCTTTTAGCCTTGCGCAGGTCCGGCCTTAGCTGGACAGCGCGCCTAGTGGCGTCAATTTCCTCACGCAGCATTTGTGTTCGAAAAACGGGTAGCTGCATCCATCGACCCATTCCCTTTCCAGGGTGAGATGGTCTCGACTTTTGAAATCAGCCAAGTCCAAACTTGCCTCCATCTCCAGCGCATCGTCTCCACTGCCTGTCCACCACACTGCCCCGTGCATAAGGCCGCTCGCTCCTTGCTTGTCCATCAAGATAGCCATCTACCTTCGTTGCCAGGGCCCGATTGAATCTGGCAATACATTTTGAGGCGGACGGCAAAACACACCGAGCCCGAACTGTTGAGCTGCTTCTGAGATCGGCCGTGTTCTAGCTGTCAGTACGTACTGATTACGTGACGCACCTTGAAAACTCCCACACCAGTGGGAGTTTTTGAGGAAGGCGCTGAGCCACACAGGTCCTGCCACACATCACTAGCCACATGCTCCCAGCGATGTGCTAACTATCAAGCCACACGGTGATTGCTCAGCCACAAGCCACTGCTAATTTCAAGCAAGATCGAATTTCTCACATAGGGTCGAATTATTTTAAGCAAGGTCGAATTCTTGCACAAGGTCGAATTCCTGCACAAGGTCGATTCTTTTAATGCAGGGTTAGGTTCTTGTCGCAGGGTCAGATTCTTATCGCAGGGTCGGATTTCTTACGTAAGGAGCAAGGTGGTAAGTGACCCACCCTAATCTTGACCCTGACCAATCGGAGACGCTGCGGATTTCGCAACACGACCATGCCTTGGCCGAAGATGCCCTCTCGCGACGGCGAATACGCCGTCGGGAATGACCAGGCAGATGTCAGAGCTAGAGGAATTACCAAAAGGACGAAGGTATGTGGTTCATCGAGTTACATTTGCTAATTAGCCCATAGTCCAATTCGGCCAGGCAGGACCCCTCATCGCGAGATCTCGACTCTCCAACCCCTCCTCAACATATTCCTCCGCTTCCCACCTCTCGAGGTCGCATCGGACTGAGCAAACTGGCGCATTCGACGTCGTCGTCGGCAAAAAGTCGCTTCCGGCAGCCCCTGTCATGGCTCAAAACTGACGGCCCTGTTGCCACGATTTCAACTTCATCACTCTGACGAAAGTACGCAAACGAGACGGCGCTCGACCGACCCCATAGACAAGCCCAGTGCAGGGGCCGGTTCA